AAAAAGTCTCTTAAATCTGAGTACATCAACAACTTTGCAATTAAGAAGTGGGGCCGGAAATTTGTTGCCATCCCAACTGGCACACTTACATTGGGCCAACGTATGTAAAACCATCGCGAACGTTGGTTTTTTTTTCCAATGCAAAACCAACGTTGATCCAATGTCATTTGGTTAATGATAAAATTATTACCGACGGAACTAAAAACATCTGACAAATTTACATTGGTCCAATGTATGTAAAAACATCGAAAAAATTTGATTGTTTTTACGATCTAAACCCAACGTTGATCCAATGTATGCGACCAAACATTGCTGCGAAATTTTATAACTTAAATAAAATGTTCCGTGATTATTAAAATATCAAACCACAACCAACACAAACATGGTTTTTGTATATATATATATATATATATATATATTGCATACATTAATTGGCTGAAGCCAAATATGTGTATAGTAACATATTGCACCTTCTAACATCGTGTGCAATCCTGTCCGTTCTCTGTATGCTATCTTTCTAACACGACTTCTTCTGTCTTTTGCCCTAACATTCTTCGTTCTTCCTAAACTCACTTTACTCTTGGTCCGTAGAGTAGGTAATGACGTTATTTATTAGCTGAACTTGTCTTTGCGGTCCTTGGTAATGTGGCCTCCGTATGGCAATTAGCTGGAGGAAGATAAACCACAATACCTATATACATATATATATTGCATACATTATTTGGCTTAAGCCATTTATGTGTATTGCACCTTCTAATATCGTGTGCAATCCTGTCCGCTATCTCTATGCTATCTTTCTAACTCGACTTCTTTTGTCTCTCACTCTAACATATCTTCGTTCTTCCCAAATTCACATACGCTTGGTCCGTAGAGCGGGTTATGACGCACCTTGGGGAGCCGAACTTGTCTTTGCGGGCCTTGGAAATGTGGCCTCTGTATGGTAACTAGCCGGAGGAGGATAAACCACATTACCTATATATATATATATATATATATATATATATATATATATATATATATATATATATATATATATATATATATATATATATATATATATATATATATATATATATATAATAGTATAGTGAAAATTTAATTCCGAATAATATTGAATACAAAATTATTCCAATTAAAGTCCAACGTTAAATCAACGTAAACACAACGTTGAGCCAACTTAAAATATAACGTTGGGCCAACGTATATAATATAACGTTGAATCAACGTAGAAGATATAACCATTTTCTGACTTTAAATAAACGTTTTATCAACATCGGTTTTTAGTTGTTGGCGACGCCGCATTTGTAACCATAATGATATAAAAACAACGTTGGCAGCCGATGTTGGGCCAACGAAACGCGCGACATTGTTCTAATATTTTAACAACGTAAGTGTGCTAGCTGGGATATGCCTATTGTCATCAGAGCAGAAGTAGATTTACTAAAAACAGAGATGAGTTGATTTGCAAACATTGAAATTCGTGAAAAAATGAGAAAGTTCGTGTATTAAATTAAAAAGTATCGGGTGACACAACTGATGCCAGCTTTTTTTTTTTGCATGGATATCAATTCAGAACCAATATTGTCTCGGAATCACTGCATTCAATAATAAATGAGGAATAGCACTCACCCTGGCTGGTTCAAAAATTGAAAAACTTTTAAATATTTTTTGTCTTGAATTTTACCAACTTAACTTACAGGAATTGTTTGATGATTTACTATGCAAATAAAAACTCAAGGGTACTGTTGCTATTAACTGCCAAAAAATAACTTTTTTAATGAGTTTAAATTTGAGGTAGAACACAAACTTAATAAATGTTAGAGTTTTTTTTTTAAATGCTTTTTTTAAGTTAATACACTTTAAAAAAAAATGCCGCAGATTTAACGGAGTTTGTTAAAAAAGATACAGAACTTTCTCCTTAAAATTAACGGTTTTCGTATTTCATTTTTTCCGTACAAATTAACGGAGAAAGTCAGGCAGCAAAGAGACATTTACTTAACTCATATTACAGAGTTTACGCAAAAATCAAAAATAAATGAATAAAATTTATGCGTTGTTATAAAAATGTAATTCGACTATTAAGAAGCTACTCGTAAAATGAATAAAAGTTATAACATAACACACATAAAATACAACATAAAAAAAATCAGCAGTTTAGAGTACTTTATCTACTCACAAAACAATTAAAGAAAATCGATTTTAATTATATAGACCACATGCAAAACGAATTATTTGAGATGTGGTTGAGATTTGGAAAGAAAGTATAAATAAAACTAGTTTCACCCTAAATAATTGTATATGACTTTAAAATTTTTAAATAGAAGTATTGCAATACACAGTAAATAAAATACCCGTTATATTTTTAAAAAACATAACGGGAGTTTTTCTTGCACATAACGGGTAATTGCCGTTATGTTTAATACTTAACATGTATGAAAATAACATAACGGTTTTAGCGTTATGTTTAGTCATAGCAAAATTGCCTTAAACATAACGGTTACATAACGCTAATTTACCGTTATGTGCGAGGAAAACTCCCGTTATATAACGGGTAATTACCCGTTATGTTACCGTTATGTTGAAAACCTAACATAACGGGTAATTACCCGTTATGTTACCGTTATGTAAAATGAAAATTATCTTTTTAAAGAAACGCATATTCTGCATGACTATTCGTATAAAGTACTTAACAAAAAAACATTTTTTTGTCAATAGAAGTTTTAATAAGAAAATAAAAATTATACAGTTTCATATCATAATATATTTATATTATACTATTTATAACAATCATGAAAATTATTTACAAAATAATTGAATAAATTATTACAAAATAATTGAATAAATTATTTACAAAATAATTGAATAAATTATTTACAAAATAATTGAATAAATTATTTACAAAATAATTGAATAAATTATTTACAAAATAATTGAATAAATTATTTACAAAATAATTGAATAAATTATTTACAAAATAATTGAATAAATTATTTACAAAATAATTGAATAAATTATTTACAAAATAATTGAATAAAATAACTTATTAAAAATAATAAATTCAAAAGTAATTTGCATTGCTTTGAAAAGATTGCAGAAGAAAAATGTATTTTTTAGATAATAAAGCCAATTGCAAAAAGTCTCAAATATCTTGCTAACATCCTAGAAGCCGCCCAAAACAAGAATATGTCAAATCTAGCAAATAGTAAACAAATGTACTGATCAAGGGTTGAACATCCATTTCGACACCTCTTCAACTCCTTACATCATATTCTGTTTTATTAAAGATAACTTGTGGACCATATAAACTTTGGCATAAGTATTCATGTAGTGAATCACACTAAAATTTTATAAATAAAAAATAATTATCACAATCATAAAATAGAAAATTATTATTAATACATTAAATGGAAAAAAAGAAAAAAGAATGTGAACCATTGCAATACAAAATATGCTTACCATTAGTTAAAATGTCAGTAATATTACAAGCAATAACAATTTTCTTTCTCAAAGAAATTTGACAACAACAGCCTTTATTATTTTCAACTATTAACTATTGAAGAAATAAGTAAAGCAGTTATTATTAGTTTATACTACTTTAATTTTACAAATAGTATATTTAACATTTTTTAATACTTGCAATACAAAATTAATGTTAAAAACAGTAATAATAAACAGACAGGTCAGACGGTAAGAGGTAAACACCATTATTACACAAGTATTAAACAACATTATTAAACAACATTATTTGGCACAATTTAATTAGTTTAATAATACTACACTAATTTATATTATATTACTAGAAAAAATTTATTATAAAAATATCATGTAATATAATACAATAATCATACTATTATAGTATAAAGTTTATATATCATAAGCATATAATAGGGTCATTCCATATAAGATGAGCCAAGCCTTCTCGCGTGACGATGTTTTATTTTCTTGAAATGTATACCTCCTGTAGGTTTTATAGACCAAAAATATTTCTTCAGAATTTCAACTTAATAACAAATAATTTTTTCTTTTCGAAATAATTTCAAATATTAAAGACTTAGTCTATTTCAGGGAACTTATTAGTCAATTTACGGCCCGAAAATTGGCACAATATACAGTGAATTAAAAATTTGAAATTTTTAGGTATGCAGCTTCAATACAAGAAGTATAAATGCAGCATAAACAAACTTGGTGTTTTTTGTGGTGCTGAGATATCTCAACAAAATAGCATTATAAAACTCAAAATTCACTATTTTGAATTTGTTTTATAGCCAATATCTCTAAGAGGGATCAATTTCCATTTTTCCGATTTCCAAATAATTCCTTAAACTAACCTTGAACATTTTTATGATAATAAAAGTTTAATTAAACAAAAATAATTCATGCAGTTTAATACCTTAATATATTTATATTAAATCATTTTTCATAACCAAGAAAATAATTAAACAAATTAACTTTGATAAAAATTAACATTAATAAAGTCAAAAGTACTTTGCACTGCTATGAAAAGGCTGCAGAACTAAAATAAACTTTTTAAATAATAAAACTTATTGCCCAAATCCGCAAATATCTTGGAAACATCCCAGAAGCTGCCCAAAACAAGGATACGTTAAATCTAACAAATAAACAGCCATCAGAATGACATTATATATATTATAATTATATATATACATATATATATATATATATATATATATATATATATATTAACAATAGATGCCATGGCATTTATTGTGAGCAATCAAAACATACCAATCAGTAATGGGCTTCAGAACCAAATATACAATAAATATATATTAATTAGCAACCAAAAGTTACTTAGTAAGTGGTAAATACCGTATGTAAATAAATAAGTAAACTAAAATAGTAGAGACATTATAAACAAAAAATCTAATTGCAAAAATCCTTTAGATTCGCGCCATTTTGTAAACATAACGGTTAAACATAACGCTTTACAAATATCATACAAATAGTTTTGGGCATAAAGCTTTAAACTTAACATAACGCTAACATAACGGTGAACATGAGATAAGCCTTATACTCACTACAATACGAATATGTATTAGTGTCAAGATCTTCATAACAAGCTTTAACTGAAGGTAACCAGCAATGTATACTAAAGCAATTTTAACAGCATTGGTTAAACTAGAATTTAATATGCTCAAAAAAATCAAATATTTCATTTTCTTTTTTGTATCAATTTTTGACAAAGAAAGTTGCTGTTGTAGGCAAAGGTCATCTGGTGATTCAATAACAGAACGCAATGGGTTGATAATGCAGAAGGAAATAATTAATAGAACAATTAGTAACACAACACTTTAAAGGCAAAATAAGCTTTGTCGTAGAAAATGTTTTATTTAATTTAACATTAAGAAAGCCTACATAATATACGTACACAAGTCTACAATTTTTGTTAAGACTAATTGGCCTCCAGTTTTTCTTACGGATTGCACGGTTAATAGACTTTGGTATTAGATAGCCGTCAAAAAAAACAAAGCAAAGGATAAAATAAATATACAGGTATTTATGCAGATAAGATACAGGCCCGTAGCAACCGGGGGGTTAGCAGGGGCATTGACCCCCTCCCCAATCATTTTTCAAATAAATAATTTAGATAAAAATTGACTTAAAAGATGACTGAAAAATAACGTCCTTAAAACTATTTTGGGGCCCGTTAATCCAGCACTACAGGTACTAAATTTTATAAAAAGAATTTATGAATAAAAACATTATTAAATTCTTAGATGTTATCACGTTAATTACGTGGTGCAACGTAACAATATTAACAAAACATTATTAAATTCTTAGATGTTATCGCGTTAATTACGTGGTGCAAACTCAATATAAATTATTTTATTAATTTTAAATTAAATAAATTTCAAATTAAATAAACAATTTCAATTTGAAAATGTTTATATAATATTAGTATAAAGTTAATGTTTAGTATTATTATAAGTTTCGTAAACCAAAGTTAAAAAAAAATAAATTAAAGTTTATATTTTCTCGCAAAGTTTTTCACACAATGGTTGGAATGCATGAAGCGAACTTGAGTTAGGTTCGACTTTAACTTTGAAGTATGATTTCGTCAAGTTAGAAATCACAAAAAAACTTGAGCAAATGCGTAAACGAAACTTAAATATTTTTTACTTTTAATGCTTAAAATTGTAGTACAAACATTTTCAAGAAAAATTTTATTTTTTATTTTTAACAGTTTATATACTATAACCTTTCCAATGATGTATACATTTTTAATTTTTTAATGATCTATATATAAAAAAAAAACAGTTACTAAAATCCAGTATCTTGAGAATTTTTATTGAAAGTTCATTAAAAACCTAACTTCGAGAAGCCACTACCATTGAGCCTGTAACATTTAGAATTTTTTAAATTAGTATGATTTTAGTGAGGGTATTAGTAACAAAACCCACTATCAGACATAATTATTGAAGTCACTTTTTGATTTTTAGCAACGTGATTTCCCACTGTGCAATGGCTCTAGCCATGCAACTAACGAAATGACCCATTTTTGATAAGCACGACCCATTATTAGTTAATTTGTTATTTTATAATTAATAAAAACAAACCTAAATTAAATTTTTTACTGTTCACAACAGTTTACAATTAAAGAGCTTAGTGCTAAACGTACTTAAGTCACAGAATGAATGTTATGAAAATATATTTTGATCAGAGATATAACACTTTAATTAAATTAAGTTAAATTATATTATATTAAGGGGGTCTATGAAAAGATTGAGGTGATATTGCATAATTCTTATTTTTTTTTTTTTTTTTTGAGTCCCCATCTGTTTTAAAAATATTTTATTTATTGATATTTACCTTGTAAAACCCATCTGTAATTTGTTTTAACACCGAAATATAAAATGAAATAATAAAAAATAAAAAAAAACTTCAAAATAAGGATTTAAAATGACTAATCAAAAAAAATTTTTTTAAAACATTTATTTTGTGACTTAACCACTTTTAGCAATAAACTCTTCAATTGAATAATCGTCTGGGGTGTTTACATCAAATAAATATTCGTAATTGATCACAACAGTGGTTTATAAATAAAACGTTTTTTGTAAAAGTCATAGTTTTGTAGCATTAGAAAACAGTTGTTTTTCCTTATAAAATGCAAGTTACGTTTAATTTTTTGCAATGTTGTTGAGTGTTATAAACCCTTTTTATTCATTTACAATAAAAATTGGTTTTGAAATATAAATGTATAGCAAAGTATAACAAATATTTTTAGGGTGTCTAATCATTTTGTCGTGCAGTGTAGTATAGAAACTCGGAGTTTCACGTTTTTCACGTTTGATGATCACCTCATTTTTATTATATTATTATTCTAATATATACTTGCTCTATTGTTGTATTAAGCACTGTCTAACAAAAAAATTAAAATGGCTTGATCCATTTGTTGCTATTTTTTAAATTCCGCAATAGCACTCTTCCGGTTATACACTTTTCCGGCACTGTACATAAATTGTAAAAAAGGATTAAGTAGTCTAAATCGTTATGAGAAATATTTAACAATAACCAAACGTATTAACTGCAAAAGACTAAATATTGTTTAAGACAAACTTAATTTAGCATAACGTGATAAAAGACTTATAGCGTTTAAAACATAGTTTAAAACAAAAAATTTAGTTTAAAAAATCTTGCAAAAGAATATATATTTCATAACAGGGTTCATAAAAGTGGGTTTAAAAAAAAAATTATATTTATAAAAATTAATAAAAAAAAACTATATTAAATTAATACTCTTAAATTTTTTTAACATATCACAATTATAAGAACCTAATTTTAATCAGATGTAATTTATTTTAGAACGGCTAAACAAAAACAAAACCCCCTTAAACATAGCAATATTTTATTGTTCTAATCCAAGATGGCGTCCTTTAAGATTAAATTCTTTAGAAGTAGTTTTTGCGACTTGTGTTTATTTTTGTGTTACTTTAGTTAGAGTTAATGGTAGTTTTTAAAATTTTATAAAATTGGAGGTAAAAATTGCATAACAATCGGATTAAATATAAAATCTTACGATAATGCATACTAAGTTAAACATATTGGATTATTCACTTGACTTAAGACCTTTTCTAAATTTAATTTTGAATAGTTATTCGAATACAACAAGAAAATAACATTCAAATAAAAAACGGCTTTACTTTTTATTAGAACCATAAAATAAATATTTCCAAAAGTAACGGCAATTTGAAGAATGGTAAAGACAGGTTTTGTTGTTGTTTGCGTATTTAATTTAAAATAATAATAATAATTGAAGCTGTGTTCTTGAGAGTCTCAAGAAAGAATCTAACAACTGTAGATGTTAGATTTTAACAACTGTTTTTCGTTAAACTTTTTAAGTTTATTTTTAAAATCAATTACTGAATTAGCGTTAACAATTTCACTGTCCAAACGATTCCAATTTTCAACTATACGGTTCGTGAAGAAATGATGCCTCGGCAAAAAGTTTTGAACATACTGCCTTCGCAACCTTTGATTGTGTCCTCTAGTTAGCCTACCCAATACTTCTGGTTCACGATGCCAATTGATAGTATCAATTTTGTTCATGAATTTGTACATTTGGATAAGATCACCTTTTTCCCTTCTCTTTGATAGATTTTGTAAGTCCATTTTCTCTAATCTTTGCTCGTAACTGTCTTTCTTTTTTTTGTAGCCAAATTTTGTAGCTTTTTGCTGAATTTTTTCTATTAAGTTTATATCTTTAATAAAATATGGGTTCCACACTTGAAAAGCATATTCTAAGTGTGGCCGAACGAGTGACATATATAACAATTTTGTTGATGTTTCATCTGGATAGAGGATTGCGTGCTTTAACATACCCAATTTTTGATTTGCCTTACTTAACATTTTTTCAATGTGGTCTTCCCATTTTAAATTGTCTGAAATATAAACACCAAGGTCTCTTTCCAATGACGTTACTATTAGTCCATGTTGAATAATCTCTGTTTCTGTAGCATTATATTTTAAATTATACTTTATTTTCGGATTATCACGACCAAAATGCATGATTTTACATTTATCTTTATTAAAACTGATAAGCCATCTTTTAGTCCAGTTAAATAAGATGTCAAGATCCAACTGTAGAGAGTTATTTATTTTATTTTTTTCTAGAACTGCAATTATTTTTAAATCGTCTGCATATAGTTTTGCTTTATTATTCAACTTTTTTGTTAAATCATTTATATAAATTATAAAAAGTAAGGGTCCTAAGACCGATCCTTGTGGTACCCCACTACGAACTGTTTCCCATTCTGATTCAAACAGTCCCAAAACAACTCTCTGTTTTCGATTTGCTAAAAAAGCTTTACACCATTGCAACAATTTTCCGACAATACCAAATGACTTAAGTTTCAAGAGCAGCCTGGAATGCGGAACTGAATCAAATGCCTTAGAAAAATCTAAAAAGGCAACATCAACACATTTTCCACAATTTATTGATTCTGTTATTATGTCTAATGTCTCGAGAAGGTTTGTTACACAATTTTTTGATTTAATGAATCCGTGTTGTTCTGGTATTAATAACTTATTTTTACTTAAATGGTTCATTATTGTATCCTTAACAATACTTTCCATTACTTTACAAACAACAGAGGTCAATGAAATTGGACGGTAGTTACCTGCATTCAGCCTATCCCCATTTTTAAAAATTGGTGTGATATTTGCTTTTAACCAGCTTGTAGGCAATGTTCCAGTTAGAAATGATTGGTTAAATATCATACAGAGTGGTCTAGCTAAACTGTCAGCACACTTACTTAAAAACATTGGATGAATTCTATCGATACCTGGGGACTTGTGCACATTTAGATTCAATAATCGTTTTTTAATATCTTTCTCATTAAACAATGGGGTTGGGCAAATTTTTTCTGTTATATTTTCACATGTAGGCATATTAGTTAGGCTTTCGTTTATGAATACTGAATTGAAAAACCGATTTAACTGATTAGCAATAACTTGACTGTCAGTTGATATTTCATTGTTTTCAATTGAAATTGCTCTTATATGGTCTTTAGCTTTTAGTTTACTGTTAATATAAGCATAAACTTGTTTTGGATTTTTTTTTGATTCTGTTGCAATTTTATTTTCATATTTTTGTATTGTAATCTTTACAAGTTTTTTAACTAACTTATTTTTTAGTTTATATTCTTCCTTAAGATCTAAATTTTTGAAATGAGAGGCTTTGTATCGATACCAAAGGTTACGCTTAAGTCGAATTTCGTGTTTTAATTCTTTATTCATCCATAAGGATCTTTTGCTTTCAGTTGTTTTTTGATTAAATGACGGTATGAAATCTTTACAGCCGTATTCAATAGTTCTAATAAAACTTTCATAACACTGATCAACATTAAGTCCAGTAAACTCATGACTCCAGTTAAATTTATTTAAATATTTTGAAAATTCATGATAATTTCCTTTCATGTATACTCGCTTTGTAGTAATACTTTCATTTTTGCGATTATGTAATTGATAATTAAAATTAAAATTTAAAACATGATGACCTCTTTTTGTTTTCCCCAAAGGATCCATATGTACCAAGCCGGATATGCGAAAAGGAGAAGCTGTAAATACTAAATCTAATATATTTGTTAATTTTGTGTCATTTAATTGAAATGTTTAAATGTTTTGTGAAAGTTTCTGTTATAATATTTTCATAAAATTCTGCTTGAAGTTTGTTTTTTCAAATTAAATAAACGTTTATTTTTTTATAATATAAATAAACGTTTTTAAATATATACTTCGAAAGTTTACTTTTAACAAACGTGTAAATCTCATATTATTATTATATATTATTTTTTTTTTGGTTTTCATTTGTTGGTCGTTGTACAACTTTATATACCCAATAATAAAAATAATAATATAAACTTACAATGAATTAAAAGTACAACAAATATAAACGAGGTGAAAGAAGATTTAAAAATATAACAAATATAAAGAGGAAAATGGATTTTATCGTCACGGCATTAAATAAGTATTTAGCAAGAATAAGATAAATAAAAATAAATAAACTTTTACAAAATTGCAAAGTAAATAATCTATTTATCTGAAGAAAGATCAAGAGGATCTTTAGAACTTTATGGGCATTTCCAAAAAATCACGCCCGGAAACTCGTATATGTTTTTACTTTTATTTTCATAAAAATAAAATAAGCGATCTCCAATTTATTCTCATTTAATTCTAATCAATATAAATATTTTGTAAACAAAAATAGTAAGCATTAGTAATTTTAACAAAGAACAAATAAAGTTTGAAATGGAATCACGCACGGAATAGAAAAACTTCTATTTTAGTTACTAGATAAATAAACTTTAATTCCTCGGAAAATATAAGTTTTGCCGGGATTTTTTAAAAAAAAATAATAATATTTTAAACATTAGTAAAGATTTCCAGAAAATTACAGGATTGCACTATGAATCATAGAGTCACAGCAATAATTTAAATACAGTTTATGAATGATCACGCACGGAATTTGCGAATTTGTCAACTGCATATAGTTATTTTTATGAAAATTAATTGAGTGTTTCATGTGAAATACTTCTACGACTCATATTTAACATACTTTTGATGAGAAACGCCAGTCATCAATTATTTCTAGCTAGAGTATGGCGTTTTGAAAGTAATTGTATATTTTTCAAAATGTAGCGATATTATTACTCAAAAAAATAAAATTGTAAAAATGTGTCCCAGTGGGCAATCGAACATTTAATCAGCGTTTAGTTAATGTTCGTTCTAAATGTTTAGATTTAATTTAGTTTCGATTTAGAACGTAGGTCAATCAAATGTTTCATTTAAACCATATCTAAATGGTTCGTTTCAAACGCTATTTAAACTCCATCTAAATCTTTCGTTTAGAACTTCGCGACGTAAAATTTTATTTTACGGCGCTTATTTAAAGAAGCATAAGTAAATAAAAAATATTGATAAACGAATCAAACTCTTCATTTATTTAAGCTGCTATAAATAAGCACCGTAAAGAAAAGTTAAACACTGAACGCATTATCTATTCATGATCATCGTCATCTTTGTTTAAACCGATTAAGCCTCTTCGTTTTAAGAATTAGAAAAAAGGACAAAACCTTTCCTATTTTCACCTATTCGGAAGGGAGCCATTCTAAAATTGGAATCAAACAATACCGTATTGCGGATACCGAAGTCATACAATATTTTTTCTAAAAATAACAAAAATAATTCAATAAACATCTTCATTCTATTCATATAAATTATTTATTTAACAACTTTATAAATCCATAGTTTTATAGATTATAGAAGATTGTACATTAGTACAGTGTACATTGAGTAACTATAGTAACAATTGATGGAGAACTTTTCTTTAATACTCTGTAAAATATAATATTTAAATAATAAAAAACTTATTAAAAAAACATGTAGTTATTGCAGTTATGGGTTGATAAGTTGCATAACTGCAGGAGAACTGCAGTGCCCTTCTTAAATATAGTAATACAATATTATATAGTATTCTATTACTTTATAACAATATCTGTACAACATATATATATATATATATATATATATATATATATATATATATATATATATATATATATATATATATATATATATATATATATATATATATATATATATATTATATATATATATATATATATATATATATATATATATATATATATATATATATATATATATATATATATATTATATATATATATATATATAAAGTTTGATAACTCCCATTATCAATTGTCTTGAGGAGCAGTAGGCATGTTTGATTAAATCTCTTTAATTGAAAAGTTGTGGAGATACCGGTAGTTTCATTACAATATAAATAAACATGTAAAAACAAAATAGTAATTCTTAAAATTTTTAAAGTTAAAAACTAAACAACAAACGTTATTACTTGATAAGTATTACTTGATCAATCCATTAGTTTGTGCTTCGATATAGTAGTTATGTGGATAATGGTATTTTAGAACTCAATTTTCGAGCTAACAGAAAAGAAGACTTTGCAAGTACTGATGGGTTAGCTACAATGTAAATAACTTCATAGATATAATATGTATACAAAATTATTTTAATTAAAAATTTACTAAAACATTGTAAATTTGATTTTAAAAAGTCTATCTTTAAAGGTTTACATATGCTCATAAGTGATAAAATTAACAGGTTTATCTAAAAGTAAAGGAGTTCTATATAAAAGATATAGATTTAGACATCTTACTTGATTGGTCTATTCTACAGTCTTTTGGTATAGTAGTCACACTTGATTTGAATAAAGATATCTTAAAATACAATTGAATGCTTGAGATAAGGTTGCTGTGGAGGTGGTGATGGTTCAACTAAAATGTAAATCCGAGTGTATATTGTTTGAGATATGTTCATTACAATTATTATTAGTCTTCAAAGATGTAAGGTAGGACTTACTTACATAATCAATTGAATATACTTGCGGTACTACATCATCAACAATCTTTTTGTATAATTAAACATTTGCAACTTAATTTTTATACTTGAATGCATCCATGCTATATTATAATAATAGCATGAATAATGCATGCAAGTATTTCTAGCACTTAGGTCTTTACAAACTTTATTTCATGTTTATTGTAACATCAAATTGGCTAACCTGTCAATATTTGTACCTTTTGCATTAACATTAACATAAAATTCTTCCTCAACTGAAAACTAAAAACTATTTTACTATACTGTAAAAATGGTTAATCATGTACTTATTAAAACTTCTTTTTTTTATTCCTGAAAATTAGAGCAAATTAAATAAAACTATTATTTTTAAATTTATAATATATTACATAATATAAATTTATTGTATACATATATATATATATATATATATATATATATATATATATATATATATATATATATATATATATATATATATATATATATATATATATATATATATATATATATATATATATATATAATATATATATATATATATGTATATATATATATATATATATATATATATATATATATATATATATATATATATATATATATATATATATATATATATATGTATATATATATATATATATATATATATATATATATATATATATAATATTTTTTTTTTCAGATGTTATTACATCTTAAACTAATAATTCATTATTTAACGCATTTGATGTGAGACACGAAAAAAAGCAAATAATATAAAATATTATTTGCTTTAACAAGCGATTTATTTAATTTTTAGTGCAATTTTTCGATAATTATTTCTACGGTAATTGAATTAACCTAGTAATATTAATAGTAAATATTATTGTTCAAACCATGTTAACTTTTCTACTAAAAAGAAAATAAATGATACAATATAATAATCTATCATATCAGAGGTAAATAAGTTTATTTTCTCTTTAGTGGTTATCATATAGGAGTATGAATAATACTTAAATTAAAAAAAAAAAATTTTCAGCCTACACTAAAACAGAAGATCCATTATATAAACATTTAAACCTCACAATTTTTAATTGGCACTGACTGCACTAAACGTATAAATATTATAACATTGCTATTTGATCAATATAACACTTATCATAAACAAATAGATATTAGGTCTTAATATAAACAAACAACAATAACTTTATTTAGTTATTTAAAGAGTAGGTACAACTTAAAATGCATAATTTTTCTCTATAACTTTTTGAGAAAACTTATGCTTTTTAAGTGGTAACTATTTTTTATAATTTTTCTACTTTTAGTAAAAGTAGAAAAATTAGAAAGCTAAGAGTTAACTACAGACGTTCTATAGTGTTGTTAAAAACCAATGAGAAAAAACAATTTAAGAAATTTAAAAAAAAAATGCTGAAACTAATATTTTTTTGAAATTACTGCTATTTTTTTGAAACTGCTTTATTTAGTAGCAATAAATAAATAAAGAATTATCAAAATACATTGTTACTGTACTTAAAATTACTTTTAATCGCTTATACAATGTTATCGAAAAACTTACAGGACCTTTTAGCTGCTTTGTTAACCACAATATAATACTAAAAACAAATTTCTTTTATCTATTCTAAACTATTTATTACATAATTTAAGATTCATAAGAAATTCTAATTTTTTAATCGTAATGAAAGATTCAAAATGTCCTACACATTTTGTGTGAATTAAGTTAGTTCCGTTCGGAAATTGTTTAATTTCGCAAATTAAATATTTAGAACACATTTAAAATAGATTTCTAAACGTTTAGATCGACGTAAATGCCATTTAAACGTGATCTAAACCATTTTTAAACCAACAAATGCCCGTTGGGTGGTTAATAAAATGGGTGAGTTAATAAAATCATTTTTTTTTTTTAATTTAAAACTTTTTTTTTTTTTTTTTGTTGTTGTTGCTGAACTCAACTCTTATTTTCAACAGCAGTATTGCTTCAACAAAAAGTTTATGACAAGTTTTGTTAATAACGATTCATATTCCAAAAATTAGTTCTAATTGTCAGGATTGTATTTTTTTACTTAATAGACCGGGTGAATAAAAATAAGCAATTGCTTCTACTTGTAATTGGTCAGCTTTACGTGAACAAAAACTTACGAAGTCTATACATTTTTATTCGTGTAAAATTAACCAATTTACTCGGTTAAAGCTCAGCTTTACATGAATTAAAACTTAAGGAAAAATCATCAAGTTTTTATTCACGTAAAGCTAACCAATTACTAAGTAAAAGCAGTTGCTTTTTTTTATTCACCCGTCCTAATGTTATTTTTTTAGCTAATTTAAAGCGCTCATATTACCAAGTGGTCTGGGTAATAATAGCACTTTTGCTACTTTTTTTGAAAACCTCTGTGTTTTAAAGAAAAAATTTCGGGTGCCCAAATATTTAAGTGGATCATGAGTAGTATACTCTAAAAATTGTTTATTCGCAGAAATTTTGGATCCAGAACAAACACCTTAAGCTTAAATTGGAATATTGTTAATATTGCAATTAAAGCTTAAGATGCTCATATCAACCTAATCTACCCTTATGAATTTTTTTTAATGAACTATTAATTTATATTCTTTAAGAGGAAAGTCTAAAATATGAGAATTTGCAAAAATAAATATAAATATTATAAAATTTCGACACAAAAATAATGCAATGTTAACATGCTCAACTTATACAACCTTCTCCTTATATATTTAGAGTTCTTATTTTAATAAATCAATGCTTTGAATGAGAGAAGGAAGTTGCAAAATTGATTAAACGAATTGCGCGTTTCTGATGCAGATAAAGACGTTGCAGCATACTTTTTTCTGTACTTTCCCAAGCAATTAATTGCAACTGGCTAAAAAAGCAACATTTTGAATAAAAATCTTCATAAAACTAAAATGCATGTTTAGATAAGCACTGTGGACTGCCGGGGGTTTCTGTACGTACATAAGTTATCTTTTAGCCTGCTTCCATAATGGATTGCTGCTAGATCGCCTAAGGGTTAAGCATGAGGCAGCAATCTTTTTTCATTTTTTGTTTTTTTCTTCTTTTTCTGAAGTTGCTGTATGTAAAAACTAAAAAAAATATTTATCAACGTCCCACGGACATCTGTGTTCGCTAAGACAGTTATATTTATTGTTAAATGTTAAAAATTGTTTTCGGTTAGATAGATAATTTTTAAACCATTTTAAAATTTTAATTTTATTTCGCAGTATTTTTGAGTTTATAAGTTAAAATGAAGCGATCGACCGTATCAAAAGCTTTTTGATAAGTCAATAAAAATTTTTAGTATATATAGTGATTTTTTGAATTATTTTGAAACTTCAAGTGCAAATGGATAATTGTTGTTCAGTTAAGTTATGTTTCTTGAAACTAAATTGATTGATTCAACTTAGATTGTTATGAAAATATATGTATACTCTGTCGAAAATGCGGAAAGAACAGAGATGGGGCGATAGTTACTAATTTCAGATTTGTCTCTTTCATTAAGAATAGAAATAATTTTTGCAATTTTTAATTGTTCTGGAAATGCTCCTTAACAGATAGAAGCTCTAAAGATTTTAAAAAGAACATATTTTAATTGTTCATAGCAATTTATAACTACGTTTCTATTAATTTGATCTGCTCTAATAGCCTATTTTGATATTTTAATATAAAACACTACAATTATATTGGAAGTTAAATAAGAAGTTAAAAGTTGGATTGTTAAATAGTTTATTTAACAATCCAACCTGGTAAATCTCATTTAAAATCAGTATGTAAAAAATAATTTTACAGAAAAGAGATTATTTATTTACAACAGCAATGATAAAATAACTTTTGAATATCTTTCCTTATGAATTCGTTTAAAATTGCCGCTTTCTTTTCTTGCATTTTAACACTGTATTGCACAATATAAAGTTTGTCAGTTTATTTACGAGTTTCACTAACTGTAAATAGAGTTTTCATTTCCTTTTATGTATTCTATATATGCACTTTTATATGTATTTATACCCAGTGGACAGGCGTTGTCAGGGGGACTTCTGCCAAACGTATAACAGACATCCAGATGTCTCTAGCACGCCCAACGTACGACCCCTGGACAACGCAAGCCCGCTGAGTAGTGTAACAATTGTAGAAGTTTAACATATTTTGATTTATCTTTTATAATACTGGTCTTATAAAAGATAAATCAAACTTTGGCGCATGAAAAATTATATTTTAAGAACCATGTTACAGGACCAATCAAATAAGTCAGCTTTTTTGTCACTAGTAAAAAAAAACACGGCTATTTTTGGAGCCATGTATCATTTTAAAACATTATTTGCCATAAAACAAGTATTGGAATACAATTTCAAGTGCAAATGGATAATTGTTGTTCAGTTAAGTTTTGTTTCTTGAAACTAAATTGATTGATTCAACTTGGATTGTTATAAAAATATATGTATACTCTGTTGAACATAATTTTTTCTAGAAATTTCGAAAATGCGGAAAGAACAGAGATGGGGCGATAGTTACTAATTTCAGATTTGAATTTTTTAATTAGGTTCAGATATATCATTGTTAGTGATACTAACAACAACAACTTGGTGTTAATATTCTTTTTATTAAAATGCTACGTTGTAATTATTATATCGGTAAATGCTTTTAATTTTTGAACTGGATTTTTTTAGATTTTAAGTATTTGTCATAAAGGTTTACTAAAACAAATTCAAAATTGCCTAATATATTATAAAAATATTTTGTTATAACTTGTGTTATATTATAACATATTTGTTACAATATAAATATAAAATTTTACAAAATGTAATATATTACACATTGTAAAATTTTTTAAATATATTATTATCTTAAAATACATTAAAAATATATGTATATATATATATATATATATATATATATATATATATATATATATATATATATATATATATATATATATATATATATATATACATATATACATATATATATATATATATATATATATATATATATATATATATATATATATATATATATATATATATATATATATATATATATATATATATATGCATATATATATATGCATATATATATGCATATATATATATATATATATATATATATATATATATATATATATATATATGCATATATATATATATATATATATATATATATATATATATATATATATATATATATATATATATATATATATATATATATATACATACATACATACATATACAAACACTGTCACACACATAAATATATATATATAAACAATGTATACACACATATATACACACACACACAATGACACACACACACATACACACAAAGACACACACACATATACACACATACACACAAAGACACACACACACACAAACTATCTGTGTATGTGTGACTTATTGTTTATACACATGATATTTTAATTTTTAATCACAATAATATTATGTACAATACTTAATATATTATACACAATACATGTATGACAAAGGAAATTTTAAAATTGTTTCATGTTTCTGACTATTTATGTAGTGTTACTTTGAACGTTATCTAGAGTTACTTTGAACGTTATTCAAAGTTACCCGTATGCAAAAAAATGTATACTACAAATTATGTTATGCTACAACAATGGAACATAATTATAGTAGGCAAACAAACTTCTTTAGATTTTACATGCTTAATTAATTTATAAACAAAAATTATGCAACTTAGACAACAAGCTGCTACACTAGCTGAGGACAATAACAACCAATAAACAAAGTAAAACTTTTAATAATCAAAATATAAACAATTTTTCAAACTTTAATGTTTGAGATTTAAACAATTTCATATAAATTCTTGCCATAATTATAACTTGAAAAAAAAATAGATTTGTATTTAAATTTACCCCACTATTCAAAGTAACCCCGGTTTACGGTAATAAAAACTATTCAAAGTAACCCCGGTTTACGGTAATAAAAACAATACTTTTTTTTTAAAATCTTAAAGTAATCATAACATGAAGTTTAAAAAATAAAGTTTTAAGTTCTGAATATTTTGAATTATTTAAAGTAAACTTTTAAATAATAAAAAATGTTTTTAATAAAGTTTTGAAACATTTTTTTAGGTCATTACCAAAATTTCAGACAAATTTTTAAAGGATCAAAGACAAATATCTCAGAAATTTGTTATGCTTTTTATGGTGGCTTTTGGGCTTACGGGGGATATAATAATTTACCTACAATTGCTGCAGAACTTAAAAATCCTATTAGAGATCTCCCATTAGCTATGTGGATTGGAATGATATTAGTTACAGTTTTCAACCTTACCGTTAATGCTGCATACTTAACAGTAATGACTCCTTTAGAAATTGCCACTTCAAATGCAGTAGGAGTGGTAAGTAAAAGGCAAACCTAAAAAAGAATTTTTGGTGTAAAAACTGTATAAAAGTAATTTATGCAATGTTTCTACTAATATATTGTCTAGATCTTATATCCATCTTATGTTTACTTTATTTTTAAAGCTTGAACACTATAACTATAACTTTAACGAAGTCGTAATTTTACGATAAAAACATTTTTTTTTTTTAAATTGATGAACTTTTTGTGTCTAAAAAATTTTATAATTAACTTTATTCTATCACATATATTTAAATTTTGTTATTTAGACATTTGGTAATCAAGTTTACGGCCCTGCAGCTTTCATTATACCGGTGTTGGTGGCATGTTCATCATTTGGTACTTCAAATGGAAGCTTGATATCTAGCAGCCGGTAATTACACTTTATCAGCTATTTACATCTATGGTAATATTTTATCAATTAATAACTAATTTAGATTCGACTTAACAATTAATAACTAATTTAGATTTTCATCGTTTTAGGATGTTAAACGCAGTTGCCCAAAAAGGTCATGTGCCAAAGTTTCTTTCCCTTATACATAAAAAACATCACACACCATCTACTTCTCTGTTTTTTATAGTAAGTAATTTACTTGGGGTTATTGGGAAAAAACCTTTTATCATGGTTAGATAAGTGCAGCGTAAAGAAAAGAAAAAGCGTAACAAATTAGGTGGGTTATAAATGCTAAACCTAATATAAGTATACAGAAGGAAACAAAGTAAAGAAGATCGGGTGCATTTTGAAATGAAACAAAGTAAAGGAGATCTGGTACACTTTGAAATGAAACAAAGTAAAGGAGATCGGGTAAAACTGTGGACAATTTTTACTAAAGTTAAACTAATATAATAATTGCTACTATAAAAAAATTAAAATAATTAAGTTTTTAATAAAATAATTAAAACAGTGCATAATAAAAGTAATACGTAAAATAATAAAACTATAAAATAATACATTACTATTTAAAAAAAGTGAACTTCCTGCTTAATAAATGCTATTTCGTGATGGTCTGCAATGAGTAACTAAAAGGAAAAGAAAAATTTAGTTAAAAAAAATCAGTAGAGCTTTGCAGTTTCCATACAAAGTAAGCAAGGTTACTGATATTTATTTCTAATTCACTTGATATACGTCATTTATATAAGTCAGGATTATGAGTAATTTTACAATTTTTGTTATTTTACAACTATATTTTTGTTTATTAATAAACAAAAATTTAATTGTAAAATAACTCATGACATTACCAAAATGACTTGCTGGCTGGGTACAAAAATTTGTATTCAAGGGCTACATCACATGGGCCAATTTTGGGCCCATATAAAAAGCCCACACCGGGCCCACTTGGGCAAACCCATATGGGCCCAAAAAGGACATGTTCGCTGGGTAATGCTGCTCGAAAAGCCTTTTCAAATGAAAGTGTATTTTTTAAAACTACAGGAATATATTCCTGTAGTTTTAGTCCTTTTAGGGCTTTATGGGTTTGCCCAAGTGGGCCCGGTGTGGGCTTTTTATATGGGCCCATAATTGGCCACATGTGGGCTAGCCCTTGGATATAAAATTTTGTACCCATCTAGCAAGTCATTTTGGGCCCTACCTGGGGCCAAAGTGGGCAGCTTTATGGGGCCCAAATGGGTTACCCACATCCCGCCCAAGGAAAATTGTCGCTGGGTGTGAATTGGGGCCTGAGTGGGTAGCCTATATGGGCTGTCTATGTGCAACCCACATGGGTCTCACTTTTTATTTTTTTTAAAATTTTTATAACATTTTGAATAATTATTTATTTATTATTAAATTAGATACATATAATTTAATATGTAGTCATAAATATGTAACGTGAGTTAAGCATTATATAAAAAAGACAGGAAATCAAACATAGAAAGAATAAGGTAAACAATGATAAACATATATAAATAAAAGTATTTAATGAAAAAGAAGTAAAAGTAATAGTCTCATATAAATAACTAAATTCATACCTTAGGTATTGTAGTTTAACCTCCTTCGGCTGATTGCCATATAGAAGTCACTTTACCAGAAGTCTGCAAAGACTAGTTCAGCCCATGAAAGAGAATCATACCAGCTCTACGGACTAAAAGTAAGGTGAGTTTGGGAAGATCGAAGATATGTTAGGGTGAAAAATAGGAATATTCAAGTTGGCAAGATAGCATAGAGTTAACAGACAGGATTGAGCATTTAGCATAGAGTTAACAGACACAATGTTAGAGAGTGCCAATTCATACTTTATTTTAAATAAGTTTGGTAAATTTAATGTGATAAGGACCTCTACAAGACCTCTCATTTTATATACATTTTCGCTTGTGGGTTTATAAAAACTCAAATAGTGTATACACTTTCAAAACTTTTTTATGCATAAAAAAAAATAATTTCAAATTCAATTTAAAAATCTTTTAGTACCACAAATAAATGTCATTGATAGTACAATTACGGAGTCATTAAAATGAGTTGACTTTAAATGAAAAGAAGATTTTTCAAAAAAGAGTTAATCTAAATTTAGTCTAAAATTTGAGCAAAGCTTTAAGACGTAATTACATTTGAGAAACGTAAGGGGGGTTTTCATAAGGTAAGTTCGCTATTGAGGTTTATACTCTTCCAGCTAACTGCCTAGCGGAGTACCTCATACCATTGCGCGCAAGATCGAATAGCATTTAAATTTAGAAAATAAGATGGAATTGAACGCTTTTTGAACTTCATATATGGATCCTAAATGGGCCTCATATGGGCTAGCCCTTGAATACAAATTTTAACATTTTTAACTACATATCTGGGCCCAAAATGAACAAATCTGGGCCTGTAGAAAGGTTCTTGACATTTCTTAAGTTACAAACCAATACTGGTCGAGAATAAGCTAGAGTATTGCTGTCTTATTTAAATGACATTAATATAGATTTCGCTAATTTGTTGTCAGACATATGACAATGCTTCAAATATGACTGGTCAATATAATGGAATTCTAGCAAATATTAAAACAGTGAATCCATTTGCTATATTTATACCATGTTTTGCATATTCCTTAAGTTTAGTAGAAAGCAGTACTGTTGATTGTTGTCGAGCTTCTGTAAAATATATTGATTTTATTCAAAAATTATCCACTTTTTTAAGTACATCAACATACTTCTGGCATATATTTTGTGTCAAATTAAGTTAACACGTACCGGTACCAAAACGACTTTTTGATACACTGATTCATTGTGGAGATGCATATTTTACTGTCTGTGCTAAACTGGGTTTTTCGACCGATTTGACTAATTGATCCGCTAACACACTAAATATACCCTTTGGGCGTTTGTTTTTGAAAGTTACGTTCTAAATGTCTTTTAAACGTTTTTTAAACTTAAATAAAGTTCTTTATTGATTTCGCGATTTCAGTAAATTTCAAAGCAACGACGATAAAACGATTAACTATTATTAAATGTAACTACCCTCTGCTACCATTTTATGGTTCCGAGAATGTAGCACAATAAATTAAATATTATATATATATATATATATATATATATATATATATATATATATATATATATATATATATATATATATATATATATATATATATATATATATATATATATATATATATATATATATATATATATATATATATATATATATATATTCAAATTAAGATTCTTTACAGAAATCTACAAAACTTTAACAAAGTAAAACAAACTTAAGACTCCTGTCAACTATAAAACGGCAAGAAAAATCGCAATAGCACGTTCTGGAATCACTTTTGCTGAGTCAGCAAACCCTTTAATTGGCTCGCTGACACAGAAATTCCAAAAATTCCTTCGCGCCATGTATTTATAGCATTAAATAGCATTAAGCTCTTCAATTAAATAACCGTCTGGGGTGTTTATATCAAATAAATATTCGTAATTGCCCTCTACAGCGGTTTGTAAATAAAATTTTTTTTGTAAAAGTCATAGTTTTGCCGCATTGAAAAACAGTTGCTTTTTCTAATAAAATGAAAGTTACGTTTAAGATAAATTTTTGAAATTTTGTTGAGTGTTGTTAACCCTTAGTATTCATTTACAATAAAAATTGAAATATAAATGTATAGCCTTAGTATTCATTTACAATAAAAATTTGAAATATAAATGTATAGCAATGTTTTACTAATATTTTTAGGGCGTCTAATCATTTTGTCGCGCAGTGCAGTATAGAAACTCGGAGTTTCACGCTTTGTGATCATCATTGTAATTATTTTATTATTCTAATATATACTTGTTCTATTTTTATAATATTTTCTTTCACTTAACAAGAGCTCTGGTATTGTGGTTTTACCTCCTCCGGCTAATTACCATATAAAGGTCACTTTACCAGATGTCCGCAACGACTAGTTGAGCTCCCGAAGGAGCGACATACCCGCTCTACGGACTGAGAGTAAGGTGATTTTTGGAAAAACGAAGATATGTTGGAGTAAAAAATAAAAGTAGTCGAGTTAGAAAAAAGGCATAGAGTAAGCGGACAAGATTGCACACGATGTTAGAGAATGCAATACAGGGGTGCGCAGGTTATCGCAGAAAAATAAAATTAATTATATCTCAAAAATGGCTTTTATTTTCAAAGTAAAACTTTCACAATACCAAATCACATATATTTTTACTCAAAAACACTAATGAATTTCAAAGTAGCCTCCTTTGGCATCAATGATACTGTTCAAACGCTCTGGAACTGACTCACAGCATCGTCGCACCATGTCCGGACTAAGATTCTTCCAGATCTTCTTCAATTCGTTTCAGAGGGCTGCCAAATTTGGATTTATTTTGGCTGCCTTCTTGGTCTTCATGACACTCCATATAGCAAAATCCATAGGACTAATGTCTGGGCTTGAAGGGGGCCACATATCTGGGGTCCAAAGGTGCGGAACATTTTCTTTCAAGAAGCTGACAGTTTTCTTTTCACTGTGTGAACAAAAACAAGGGGAGTTTTTGACCCATCAGAGCACACACCTGCCCAAACCATGACGCCCACAGGGTGCTGTCTCTTTGGAATAGTCCTCAGTTCCAAAGGAACTGTTCTTCTGGACTTACCAAGAACTCTGTCATTGTATCTGTTGGGTTCTGGTTCAACTGTGGAAATTTTTTCATCACTGTAAACGATAGGGACATCTTTGTGGTCTTTGAACCAATTTAGTAACTCTTTTGATCTTTTGCGTCTTTTGGCTCTAGTTGCCTCACTCAGAAGTTGTCTTTTTGACTTGACAAGGCTCTTCATACCTAGATCATCGTGGACAACACGTTGCATAGTCATTCGAGACACACCTGCTTCTCTAGCTAAGGATGAAATTGACCTGTTTGGGTTTCGTCGTACTTTGCAGTCAATCGAATTTCGAAGTTCTTTAGTTCTCACATAACGATTTGGGCCTGTTTTTTTTCTTTTGTAATTTTTTCCAGTTTCTAAGTCTTTTAAGAGTCTGTAGACGTTGGAATTATGAAGCTGTCCCTTCACGGCTTTGCAAATTTCAACTTTTTTCACACCACGTTTCCATAGATCAAAAACAAGTTTTCTTTCATTTTCATTTTGCGTGCTGTCAAATCGTGCCATTTTTTACAACTAAATTAGTGAAAAACGGCATTTTTTAAAGATTAACTTGTTGAACTGTGTTGCATTTTCCCGCCAAAAATGTTTTTCACTGTATATCATATTTTTTGCCGCGAAATTTTTGTTTTCATTTTTTTCTGCGATAACCTGCGCACCCCTGTACATACTGTTAGTTAGGCTTAGCCTAAGTAAACTATACCAACAAAGTAGTGATTGGAGTAGTGATTTTTAGGGCGTCTAATCATTTTGTCGCGCAGTGCAGTATAGAAACTCGGAGTTTCACGCTTTGTGATCATCATTGTAATTTTTTTATTAATCTAATATATACTTGTTCTATTTTTATAATATTTTCTCTCACTTAACATGAGCTCTGGTACTGTGGTTTTACCTCCTCCGGCTAATTGCCAAATAGAGGTCACATCACCAGAAGTCCGCAAAGACAAGTTGAGCTCTCGAAGGAGCGTCATACCCGCTCTACGTACTGAGAGTAAGGTGATTTTGGGAAGAACGAAGATATGATAGAGTGAAAGATAAAAGTAGTCGAGTTAGAAAGATAGCATAGAGTAGGCGGACAGGATTGCACTTGATGTTAGAGAGTGCAATACATAGTGATAGTTAGGCATAATTTAAGTGAAGTACACAAACAAAGTAGTGATTGAAGTTCACTTAACATGCGCTTTTCCTCGATTTTCTTTGTCGTCCAAGGGACACATGAAAACTAACCTTTATATAAAATTTGTGTCTAAAGTGCTAACGGCTTAGTTTTATTGTTAATTAGAAATAAAATTTAATTATAATTTTTTATATTTTAAAACCAGCTAATACTGCGCTTGTGGGTTTGTTTTAATACTTTCTGTTTGAAAAATTTTTTTTCTTAAATAAATTTGAAAAATATAACTTAGAACATAATTTTGTCTAACATTAATATAAAAATATATTACATATGTGGGAGGACGAGGGTGGCAATGCAAATGAAATATTTATACTATATCTTATTTTACTTTTATATATAAAAAATTTTATCCTTTAAAAAGGTATGTTCCGCTTCTTTAAGGTGGTTCAGGTAAAATCAGGTAAAAAAATAGCAATTTTTGTGAAAAAATCTGTTTTTTAGTTTATTAGCCAACTTTGTGTAAAATTTCATTGGCTTTTCAACCATATATCATATGATATGGGTTTAATTATAAAAAAAATCTAAAAAAATTGTTTTAGTTGGTAAGAGTAAAACAAATTTACTTAGCAACCGCATAGCAACGAACAATTTTTTATAGATATATTACCCAAAAAACTAGATTTAAACAATTATTTCTTTTCATGGGTCTGTATAATTAATTAAACTTTTGAACCAGAGTTATTGTAGTACACGTCTAAAAATAGTGTGGACAAAAAACACGACACTTAGTGTAGCGTCTTTTTGGCTACACAAATTGTGTACTTCAAGGCTACACTTGTGCGCTTTAAAGCCACACTTGTAATTATGAAATTAAACTTCATTATATGCGTAAAAAAAGCCACACTTGGTGTTGCACTTTCTTGGATTCTCGTATCGAATTATTCGAAAAAGAGGCTAGAATCATGTTTTTAGCGACAAGTTTTTTTTTTTATGAACCATTTACAGTTTACTAAAAATATTAATGTAACATTTAGGTACGTGCGTATCTGGCTATTTACGGCACCGATTTATAAGTAAAAAACTGTGACCGTTTTTTTCACAGCGTGCTCGAAGTCGGTGTGGTTAGGATGTATTTATTAGTCTTTTTTTTTAGAATTTTATACCAGCTTAGACATTTTTTGAAAAGTAGAATGTTTTATGTTGTATAAATTATGTTTTTTTTCCAAAAGTATTAAGTTTTTCAGTGATTTTATTGCTCTTTAAAATTTTGTTCGTGTTCTGGAGGTGTATTGATATTGAAGGCATGTTGCTACACATTTAAAATTTTCCAGTCAGCTGTGTAAATCTATTTTCTATGTTCCTGCCAAATTTCATTAAAAAATATTCATGCGCAGACACCCTATTTTGCCACCTAGTGGAGGTACATTTTCCACCTTTTTTACAACTACTGTTACTGTTACACTTTATTAAACTGTTTCTGTTAATGTTACTGTTACTTCTTGATATAAATTCCGTTGTTTTTTTTACATTTACTAGTGATTTTTATTAGATTTTCAAATTTCGTTTCTGTTCTGGAGGTACATTAATATTGAAGGCATGTTGCTACACTTTTAAAATTTTCCAGTAAGCAGTATAAATCTATTTTCTATGTGCCTGCCAAATTTCATTAAAAAATATTTATGCACAGACACCCTATTTTCCTGTACAGTGGAGGTATGTATTTCCACTTCCGTTTAGGCGGGGAGGGGGGGCGTAATTTGATGGTGAGCATTTGATATATTAGATTGTTTATTCATAATAATGAGATATATAGATAGTTTTCATTAAAAAGGTATACAATTTGTTTTTCAATAGCCTTTTATTAGTAATAAATGGCTATTGAAAAAAAAAAGTTGTTTGTAATAATATTACTAACACTATTGATGACTTCACACACCAAGTTTCAAGGCTGAGTTCTGTTAAATCTAATTTAAAATGCTGAAATAAAAATCATGACACTTTTTTATGGTGATTCAGAATAAAATGCGAAATAATGATAAGAAACAAAAACAGCACTTTCTCAATTTTTTTCTTTACCCATAATTTACCATATAACCACCAACCAGCATTATTTATGATATATAAAAATTATATATATATCTATAATTTTTTATTGACTAAAGGCAATTTATCAGTTAGTTAATTGTGATTGATTGCTGACCCAATTAAATAGTAATTAAATATTAATAATGATTAAATTACAATTAAAGTAGTGTTATGATCGTTTAATTTAATTTAGTGCATCATGGGACCTAAAAAGAAAACAAATCTATTTTATGGTAAAACTAAATCTTATTTAGTTTGTAATTTTCCAATACCAGCTCATTTAAATATGGGCTGTAGAAATGGACATGTACTGCATATATTGGCAACTAACAATGATTCATACCAAGTAACTGTAGAACTAATCAGTAAGTATTTTAACATCAACATTTTTCCCAATCAGATTCTGCAACTAGTTAGAAAATCAAAAGTCTTTGTAAAAGATTTTTCACAAAGTTCAAAACAATTTATTGACATCTGCAACATGCTCTTTGAATACCAACCAACAACATCTGCTGTGACTCTAACATCACAGTTAATCACAACCTCTAATCACATTGCTACGTGTTCTTCATTTTTTTCTCAGCAAATCACTGTTTCGTCTCTATCAAATAGTGACTCTTCTCAAGAATCATTATCCAGGTTGAGAGCTGACCAGGTTAGTCCCAGGAAAAAGATTATGAGAAAGAGATTAACCATTTTGGAAAACGAAATCGCAGTTAAAAAGAGAAAACATAAAGAAGATCTTAAAGGTTTAAGAGAAAAAGCAAAGGCTAGACCATACAGATTAAAATATCTAAATCAAGTTATTGCTCGTAAGGAAAAGATAATTCATCAACTTAGAAAAAAATTATAAGAAAATTTTTTAAATATACAGTTAAAAAAACTTCAAAATCAAATTTTTTATTTAAAACAACAGTTAACATTCACCGAAACCAAGTTTTTTAATCAAAAGACAATGTTATCCCAACAACTTGCTGACAAAAATTCTGCAATTCTTGTACTTCAAAATGACATACTGGTTTTACAGGAAAAGTTAGAAGATATTCAGCAAGTAACACAAAACACCAAAAATGAAAAATGCTACTCAGCAGATATCAGAACACTTATATATGACATGCTTGTGTGCCAAGTTCCTACACATAGTGTGCCATCTCTGCTCCATAAAATTGGAGAACATACTGGCTATCAATTTAGTCAAATTCCACATCGGACAACTGTAGAACAAATGATGCGTGAGCTTGGTGTTCTTTCGGACTTACAGACTGCTGAGATAGCAGATCTGACACTTGGTTTTGATGCAACAACCCAGGAGGGTGTTCATGTAAATGCTGTGCACTTAACAACCAAATCAGTATGTATGGTTGTAGCTATTGATCAACTTTCTGGAGGTACAGCTTATGATTATCAGAGTCATATTACAAAATCTGTTGATAATCTTGCTAAGTTATATAGTGACTTCTACAAGCTTAAATACACTGATGTAAGAAGCACTATTATCGGGAACATAACAAATACCATGAGTGATAGAGTTGCAACAAACCATGCAACAGTTTCAAAGTTAAACCTAGTTTGGCAGAAATCATTAAATGAACTTAACTGTCACCTTCACCCCTTGGACACAATGACAAGCTCTTGCAAGTCTTCACTTAAAGCATTAGAGACTTCAAAAGGGAAACTTTTTGGAAGAGACTGCATAGCAGCAAACATTGTTGTACAGCTGAACAAACTTCGTTACAAGGATGCTAAAGGTACCTATATAGTTTTACCATTCTTTTACTTTAATATAGTGTAGTTTTGTAAATAAAGTTAAAAATATATAAATATTATAATTATTGCATGTTTTTAATTCATATCCTCCTTGCAATTCCCAAAATGACACTCTTTATGTTATTCATAGGCGATCCAAAGGGTTTTGAAACCTTTTTGGACCAACATGAGTTGCCCAGAGGATTGCTACCACGCTATAGAGGGAACAAGCTACATATACTTTTTCACACATGTGGTATTTTAATCCATCATTATGCCATATTGAAGATATTTCTGTGTTCTGGCTTGGCGTTATGTGGAGGTCTGCGAAATAGTTTGTTTCAAGACTTTACATCTGAAATAGGTATACCACTATTATTTACAATATTATAGGTTATAGAATTCATCTTTATAACATAATAATGACACATGATTAACAAAGAATAAAGACAAATTTTATTTTTTGTTACTTATTAACTAATTTACCTTAGGTATCCGTGAGTTGTGTGTTTTAGCTTTAATTGGAAAGCTACTTTCTGGCCCTTGGATGACAAAATTTTATATTGCACCAGGTACAGGACTTGACTACATATCTGGCATTCAGGTAGTAAAAGATGTTAGGAACACTCTTATTGAGAGCAGCAAGAATCCCTTATCTCTACTTAAACGAAAAACTGATTTCTTTGGTAATGATATTAAAGATGTTGTTTTTGATTCAATAATCAGCTTTTGCCCAGTAACTAATGAAATGAGTAAAGCATTAGGTGACTGTCTTAATGCTGTTATTAGCGTCATTGACAGGCAGTACAAGCGTCAGTTCGAAATGAGTTCTAATGATCTTCTTAAAGACCAGACTAAGTCAGCTAGGCTTCACAACATTGATTCAGAAGAACTTATGGGTATGTTTAGCGCTGCAAAGCACAAAGCTCCTAATGCTACTCTTTGTTTTCTTTCTTCGAAACTTCGTGCTTGCAAAAATAAAACAACTGCTCTGCTTTTTAAAAAGCCAACTGATATTCAAAACAAGTTGATATTATGGGCTATCTCTAATGCCAGGAAAAATCGATTTACAAGTATGCAATGTCATAATGAACTGAAGTTAGAACTGCTAAAACGAATGGCAGATAAAATTCAGAAAAGGGAGGACAAAGACCGCAGAAAGGTAGAAAAAATATTAAAAAGTTGCATGCCCGATCAGGTAAAAGAAATGTTTCCTGATCTAGAAAATAACGAGGCCTCAGATATTGAAGAAATTCTTATTGGAGCTGCTATTGGAAGAAGTATTTGCCACATGTGGTTTGATAATGCCAATAACACCCATGAGGTATATTACGGCAGAATTGTTAACATTAAAAAGAAGAACAATGATATATATATATAGTTTCTTATTGGAAACCAAATGAAAATGAAGATGATGACGGTGTTGAGTATGATATAAGCAAATATCAACTTTCTGCAGACATAATAAGCGGTGATATGGTGATAACATAACAGAATTGTGTAATAATAAGGTATATGTTATTTTAAGTATTAGTATGTCTTATAAACTTGCATTAACAGATATTATTTACAGATAGGTGAATTTCTTTTTTTTTTTTTTAAGAATAAATTTTGCAATGCCTAATATATATCTAATTCTTTCCTTTTTTTGTAGTATTATGAAAATATTTATAATTTTTTAATTTGTTTTTATATATACATATATTTATATAGAAGTTTAATTTTAGGTAGTCGGGTAGTTACCGATATCCAACAACCAGGGTTGACCTGGTTGCAACGTGCTATGGAAAACCAAAGCTCATTTACTTTTTGACATAAGCAAATTGCTTGGCTTATGACAATTAATATTTATCATTGATGTTTATCATTATCAATGATGGCAATGCATTTTTCTATCAAGTATAACAAAGTTTCACTTGCGTGGATTGAGAGATGTTAGTGTTCCATTACAATAAATCCCTTTAAAATTAAACCATGTAGTTTTCATCATGTTAAACAACATGATGAAAACTACATGGTTGCTTCAGTGGATGTTGATCTTTTTCATATCAAGATTAAACCGGTTAGATCATATTTATTTAGAGGTTTATTATGTTTTTTAATGCAGTAACAACAGTTATATATTATTTATTATCCGGGACATAGGGCATCCTTATTAAATAGGTATTGCGATATTAGTTTTGAGAAATTTTTACTTTATTTTAGATATCATTGGATGTGGTTTCTTTTGAGTACTAAAGAATCGACTCTTTCTATCTATGGATGTCACAGTTTTGTTTGCTTCAAAATCTAGGCTTTTTTCAAAGCCACAATTCTGTTAAAAACATTACTGAGCAAAAAAGAAATTTTTTTGTTAAAGAAATGTGTTTTAAAATAGTTTTAGTTTTTGCGGTTTGTTGGAATTTATATATAATTAGATATATGGGGCTATGGAAGGGAAAGGGAAAGGGAGCAGTGGTGGACATCCCCCCACCCACCCCACTCATTTGTTTAGTTGGATATTTTTTTAGTAGGTTTTTAGTTTAACTATATGGTGTAATTGACACGGCTTTTAAAGTGGGGAGGGGGGCCAACTCCCTAATTTCAAAAAAAACAACCTATATTTCTAAAAAAAAGGTCCTCGAAGCAATTAGTGGGGGAGGAGGCATAGTCCCCTATGGTGTCGATGGCCATGAAAGAGGGAGGTGAGACCCCTTCCGCGAATGAATTTTTTGTTTATTTAGTTGGCAAAATATATCTTTATATCTATATATATCTTAAATTGGAAAAGATAAAAAATAAGCATAAATAGAGAGCAAAAACGCTAAGGCTTTAAATGTCTTTAAAGTTCATCTATACGCTATAGAAAACCTAGCCTTGGTACATATTTAATAACATAAATATATATAACTTTAACCATTATTATGTATAAATGTATATATATATATATATATATATATATATATATATATATATATATATATATATATATATATATATATATATATATATATATATATTGTAAATATCGTTAAAATACACGATATTTTATTTAAAATTTTGTTATAAATTTTAATATTAGGTTTTTATCATTAAAAATATTTTTGTTATAAATTGTTAAAAAATTTTTGTTATATTAAAAACCTTTTTTAAAATGTTATTAACTCGTTTTGCACATTTCACTAAGCAAAATCATGCGCAAATTAACAATAACGTTCTACAACAAAGCTACTGTTAGCCGAACGCGAGTTTTTTACGATGGTTGCATTTTTCCTAAGCAATCCTTCATAAAAAAAATGTTACTTAAATAAGCATAACTTTTTTTGTAATTGTTCGTTTTTCATAAAATTTTCACCATTTTAATATAAATTCAAGGCTCTTTCGAACCATATATAATACTTAAATGAATAAAAGGTTTAAAATTTTTACACACGTACCTATAACATTTATTGCTGCATGGTAATTTTAAACACATACATAATTAACTTTTTCATAAAGAAATATTTGGTTTGTAATATTTTAGTAACATCGTATTAAATATGTTAAGCGAGGAAAATATCGATTTTCAGTTGTTAAAAATTAGGTAAGACCTTCGGTTTGTAGTACATTATTACATGAATTAGTTGTGTGACTTTATTTAATTAGACTATTGTTATTATTTTATATATATTGTATTAAAATGTTAATACAATTATTTTAGTTACGTTAACAACATTATTATGAAGTTATAAAATATATAACATAATAACATTAATTATATAAAATAATAACATTAGTCTAAAAAAAATGTGTAAAGTATAGGTTTAACATAACATTACCAGGTAACTGGTAATCTGTTAACATAACACAAGTAGTGTTGTTAACATAACTGCAAATAATTTTGTTTAATAATATTGTTAACGTAAAACGTTAATGTTAATGTTGTTAAAGTTAATTTTTTTATGTTATAACAAAATGGAAAATATTTAATACATAAATATTATTAAATAAATGTGATAATGATGTCATTTTAGTTAAAATAGCAGCATTTTAGTTATATTAACAACAACTATTTTAGTTATCATATGTTAACAACTAGATATATATGTATACCATAAAGGTATACTTTACATTATGTACATATCTTTTTTTTGCTAAGATAACTAATATAAATCATTATTGCATGATATATCATTCAATAATGATTTTTATTAGTTATGACTATGATTTTTAGTCATGTTGCATGTTGAAATAATGTATTAAATAATTTCATCATACCTATGAAAGCACTTTAATAAAATTATATTAATATATGCAATAAATGCACATATATATATATATATATATATATATATATATATATATATATATATATATATATATATATATATATATATATATATATATATATATATATATTTTTCTTTTCTGATGAAAGTTATTAAAATGTTTATTTTCTATATATGTGGTACTTTAAGAAACTATTGATTTTTTTTCAAAATCATCTACAACGTCATAATAGTATTGGCGAAATTGTTTATCCAATTAAATTTTTACAGAATGGCAGTAAATGTACATGCACAGCTTTTATGTCGCTAATTAGACATGTAAAATGTTACCATAATATTGATAATGATTTCATTGATAAAAAATCCTGAGCCAAAATATATAGTAATCCATTAAATGATAATCGTAACGATTTATTGCCTAATTTTTCAGATTATTCATTGCCTAGTTTCCCAGAGAATTCTACTTATCAAGTTTACACTTACCCTGAAAAAACAATTGAATATATTGATCCTTTGTTAGTTTCTTTATTGTGAATAAGCAACAGTGTTCCTTATTACATTATACCTGAAGTAATTGTTTCTGTTAACAATATTTCATAGTCATTACTTTCCTATATTGCAGAGCTCGAAATAGTTTTTCAAATCTTGCCAATCAATTGTAATTATTTCACAAAAATAGGTTTTCATTGAATTTTTCAAAATTTCTTCAAACATTGCTGATCATTGATCGGCTGTTATTTCGAGCGATGATATTGGTAATGCTGTTTTATCAGTTTTCAATGACATTAGAACAGATTCCACTCTATTATTGTTTAAGAGTAAGTTTGAAAGTAGTGTTATAAATTGCAATAAGCCACTCAAGTTTCTTGACACATCATAAAAACAAGATAAACACTTAGAAAAAAATTCTCTTTTTGTAACTTTTGAAACATGGAACATGGGTGCTCCTAGATATGAAACTAATGAGAGAATTTCAAACATAGTTTCATTTCATTGAAGAGGTATCAAATAATATTACATTGCATGATGGCTTTAACACTTTCAAACAAAACATTTTGTTACTAGCAAGAGATTCAATGTTCAAAACTACTTTGTCAGAAGACTAATATAATGGAGGTATATATATGTCTACTACCCTAAGTGGGGAGAATGAATAAATAAGAACTTTATAACTTAAATAAGAATTTTTACAACATAATTGTCAATCTGCATAAGTACTTAGCTGCTGCAACTTGACTATGTGCCAATCTGCAAAAGTGTGAAGTTTCTCTTTCTCATCTTATTTAATTTATTAGTTCCTTATCTAATATACCCTTTTAATCCAAAAGAAGGTTTTTTTATAATCTGTCTACCTATAAAAGTTTATAAGTATATACAAGTTGTTCCCTGATTTATTTTTATTTTTATTTAGAAGATGCAACTTTGCTTGCATTTAAGGCGCTCCCTTTTCTTATGATAGCACCTCCACAGAAGGGCAAGAAGAGTCCAAGAATGTATCTTGATGCAATTTTGGCTTTATTTCATAGAGAAATGGATGTAAGTTTTTTCTATACATTTTTTTTAAAGTTAAATTTGGTTCATAATCAAAAAGTATTACTTTTTTGAGCTTTGTATTTTCTGCATTTTTAAAGTTTTACTTAAACATTTAGGTACACCTCAGTCTTGAAAGCTCCCTTGAGTTATCGAAGGAGAAAGTTTTTCTACTGATTTTATTCAAGTGGTGCGGCACTCTATTTATGATTCTAATTATAACTCTAATTATAAGTCGATAATACAGCTATACGGTTGGAAGCCATACCGAGTATTAGATTTGCTTTTGAGTTGCTGCTAGTTTCTTATTATGTATTTAATGTCAATTTTCCTCATGAACCTATTTGTGTATATGGATTTATTGGAAAATTGCTTGGAATAAACAGCAAAAGAATTATTGTCAATTCCTTTTAAAGAAAGTATTGCCAAAAGTTTAAGATTAAATTAAGCAATATGTTTGTGAAACGAAAAAGTATTTTTTATCACTTTTTTGTTTATTTTTGTTATATCGTCAGCCGAGAACCAAGATGCCATATGTATTTTTTTTGTGTTTCCAAGAAAATCAAGTTTTTTTATTTTAATTTGCGAAAACTTTCTGCCAGGAAGTTCGACTGATTATTTAAATATTTCCTAAAATTTTATTGTTGTGGTATATTTATGAAACACACACTCCTGAATATTTATTGATAATGGACAAAAAAAAATACACAAAATGTTGACATTCGGTTCTTCTCTGACGGCGGTATCTATTTTTCAATGTTTTAACTCGCTTTTTGCATATAAATATTTTAAGACTTGTTTTTAATTTAATATTCACTGAATTGAATTTGAGTTTGAACTGAGTTTATATACTTAAAAGAAATACAATAACATCCATTGACTCGCAATAAAAATAAAATTTATATTTCAGTTTTTATTATTTTATTGTGATATCGTTCCGTTATTTCTTGTAAGCCAATATAATATACATGTGTAATTTAGTATATGACTCTAAATGACAATGTGTAATTTAGTATATGATATAAAATAGCATTCTTTATTTGAATTATTTAATTGCGCCCGGTTATATACATAGTACGTGAAGACCTAAATGGGCGGAATAAATCACGCATAAATATACTTACAAAAAATCAAAACATTTATAACGTCTAGAAAAACACAGATTAGTGTATAAACTATAGTGTTGCATTTAGCGTAACACTAATTTTGAGGTTATTTTACAACAGTTTTGTCGCGCAAAAAGAGCGTGTATATACAGCCATTGATTAAATGCAACAATTATGTCGAAAAAATTTCTACTAAAGTGTCGCATTAAAGGCCACAAAGTGTGGCTTTCAAGTCTACATTTTATGTAGCTTTACGAATGCAACACTGAGTGTGGCTTATAAAGTCACATAGTGTTGGGGTTGCCGGCGTCGACACTCATTCTTGTATTTTACGCGACATAATGTAGCCTACGGCTCAACACTACTTTTAAGCGTGTCGTCTCTTATATTTCAAGAAATTTTTAATTAATTAATTGTTTTTAAACTTTGAAGCTTGATTTCTCAAATGTATTTTTTTGCCTGACTGCGAAAAGCGAATCGTTCATATCTTTTCAACCAGATAAACAAATGAGTTCAAAATTTCAGGATTGTTTCTTTATAGATAGAACTGCAATAGCTTACTAGAACTAATCTTAAATTTGTTTCCATTTGAACATATTGATATTTTACTATAGGTTTTTGCATCAATAACTTCCTTTAAAATTGAAAAAGCTGCCATTTTAAAAATAATTACTATTTTTAGTTTTTCTAGTAAGCTTTTGTTTATTACACAATAATCTATCAGTGTTGTAAGTCTTAACTTATAATATCATAAAGAGGTTGAAAAAATGTCGTTTCCTTTTTCATCGATTTTTTTGCATTTTTTGCTGGTTCAGCAAAAAAAAAAAAAGTAAACTTATTTTTTTGAGCATTTTTGATTATATTAATAAGTATGTTTCTTTTGAACTAATTTTGGTATATGATTATATTGGCAATCGAAAATTAATTTTTCTACCTGATAACCACCTTAATCCAGGAGGTTTAATAAGCGCGAATTGGCATAAGTGCAAACTAGCATAAGCGAAATAACAATTTGCGTTATGCCAATATTTGCAATTTTATTTGACGCACTTTAATCCAGGATTTTAATCGCACTTTAATCCGGGATGCTTAATAAGCGCGAATTGATATAAGTGCGAACTAGCAAAAGTGCGATGCGTTGCAAAAACTGGCACAAGTGTGAACTGGCATAAGTGCGAATTGGCATAAGAGCGAAATAACAATTTGCGTTATGCCAATATTTACAATTTTATTCTGCGCACTTATGCCAGTTCCCACTTATGCCAATGTTTGCAAATTCTTTTGGGTCACATAAGCCAGTTTGCTTTGTGCCAGTTTTTGTAACAGTTTTGCACTTATGCCAATTTGAATTTATGCCAGTTCATACTTACACCATTCGCACATTTAGCTTGATTTAATTTCAAACGACTTGACATTGCTAAATATCATGACTCTCAGTAAAGACCAAAAAGTAGAAAAAAATATATATCAAAAACATTTGCTAAAAAATTAATATTTTATAATCTTTTCTTTCCCTTAATATGATTTTTGGTATTGTGGTTTATCCTCCTCCGGCTAGTTGCCATATAGAGGCCACATTACCAAGGTACCGCAAAGACAGGAGCGTCATAACTACTTTTGCCCCCCCCCCCCCAATTTTGAAGTCTTTTTTAGAAAAAATCAATTATTTCATAACATATTAACCGGCCCAATGGGCCGGGTGAATAAAAAAGAGTAAAAGTAAAAGCTAAAAGCAAATGCTCGCCGTAATAGCAATTGCTCAAAAATTGTGTGAATAAAGTTTTGCTAATGCTCGCAAGCAATTGCTTTTGTGTCGGAGTAAAAGCTATATGCCGTTGCGAATATAAGTAGCTTTTTTAACTTTTAATATTTAAAAATGGCTTCTTCAAACCAGATTATAATTCCTTGTCCTTGGTTTTTTTTCGTCAGTAAAAAAAATATATATATAATGCCGTGTAATATAAATAAGATCTACATGACCGGGGTTAAAAGAAGACAATACTTGCCTTATCACTACACCCCGACGTGCTTTCATAAGCAAGCGTGTACAACCATTAAAAGTTAAATATACAATTACTTTGTGCCATTTAAAAAATTATATACAATTATTTACAAGTATGTTAAGACTAGTTACTAATCTATAATCAAAAGAAAATAGTAAAAAGAAATTAAAAAAAAAAAAAAAAAAAATCAAAACTATAGATAAGCTACTAGGATAGTTTTTAAAGTTAATAAGATAATTGTTAAAAATAAAGAAAAAATAAAAATAAAAAATTTTTAAAAAGAATTTAATTCATTAACATCGTTAATAAGTTTTTGTTTCAATTTTTTTTTGAATAGGTAAAGAGAAGAACAATTTTTCAGCTCGTCACTTAATAAAGCGTTCCGTAATTTAGGACCTCTTATAGCAATAGAAAATTTGGTAGCCAAATAATGCATTTTAGGTTGCTCATAATTGCACTTAGAAAATCTTGTAGGGTACGTGTGATTAATTTTATTGAAAAGTGTACTAAATATTATAAGTGATATTTTATTATGAAGTTTGTACATAAAAATAAAAATTTGATAAAGGTTTAACTGAAAAACATATGTGAAGAAACATATGAGTATGTGAAGATAATTAAATAGTTCTTTCGTATGTGTGAATCGACCTGCATTTGAAATAATTCTGACAGCATGTTTTTGTTTACTAAGCAGTTTTTTAATTTTACTTATATTAGAGCTGCACCAGACAATGTTTGCATAGTTTATATAACAATGTATGAGGGAGAAATATAAAATTTTTAGGCAGTTTTGGTTTAAAAACTGCTTGGCTTTGAATAGTATACCAATATTTTTTGAAACTTTATTTTCTATTGTACTTATGTGTTCTCTCCATGTTAAGTTTTCATCAAGTATCACTCCTAAAAATTTTATTGATGACTCTCTAATTATTTTAGAGTTGCCAATATAAAGATTAGGAAGTTTTAGTGGAATGTTTTCTTTATCGTGAACTCTATAAAAAAAAAAGGTATACTTAGTTTTATTTAAATTTAAGGACAATTTGTTCGCCTTGAACCATTCCGCTAGATTTAAAAGTTCTTTGTTTACTATTTTAAATAAAAGTTTAATATCTCCATTAGAGTAAAATAAATTCGTGTCATCTGCAAATAAAGCAGAGTTTAAAATGTTTGAAAACTTATGTAAATTGTTTACATAAATAAGAAATAAAAGATGACCCAGAATTGAACCTTAGGGAACACCGCAATTTATTGTCATATAGGAAGATTTTCCTTCTTTATATGATATGTATTGTTTTTTATTGTTTAGATAACTTATGAACCAATCTAAATATGTGCTTTTAATACCATAACTTTCGAGTTTTTTTATAAATATATTATGGTCTACTGTATGAAAAGCTTTGCTAAGATCTATAAAAACTCCAAAAGTAAACTTTTTCTTGTCAAATGCTTTAAATTTATCATGAACAATATTAATAATGGCATGGTCAGTTGAATTACCTAGCTGAAATCCAAATTGTTTATTATATAAAATATTATTTGTATTTTAAAAATTCAAAATCCGATTATACATAATTCGCTCTGAGATTTTTGAGAAGCAAGGGAGAATTGAAATTGGTCTGTAGTTTTCAGAATTAGAAATATCTCCTGATTTAAAAATAGGTATAACCCTTGCAATTTTAAGTTTCTCAGGATAGACACTTTGTTTTAAAGAGAGATTAAAAATATGTAAGAGAGGGATTGTCAAGTATTTTATTGATTTTTTTATTACATTACTACTAATATTATCAACTCCTACACTTTTGTTTTGTTTTAAAAGATTTACTGCATCTATAAGTTCATTTTCAGTAATTTCATAAATATCCATTTTAGAGGTCTTATAAGGAGTAAGATATGTCTCAAAGTTTACTTCAGTGGTTTCTATTTTTGACGCTAGAATGGAACCTACACTTACAAAATATTGATTAAGTGTTTCGGCAATTAAAGATTTATTTGTAATAACTTTATTATCAATTGTTAGATTTATAGAAAGGATATTTCTGTCAGTTTGTTTCGTACCAATTACTTCCTTAATAATGTTCCAAATATTGAGCCGATCATATTTATGTTTAATTAATTGCTCGGTATAGTACAACTTCTTGGACTTTTTAATAACCATCTCAAAAATACGTTTATAATTTTTGTAATTGGTTTCATGGTTGAAAGTTTTTTTTTTTGAGAAATTTATTATATAGTCGTTGCTTTTTTTTTTGACGACTTGATAATTCCCGGAGTTATCCATGGATTTGATTATGTCTTTTTTTTCACACATTTTGTAATTAATGGAAACGCTGTAATATAAAGTTGTTGTAATTTATCTAGAAACTTATTGTATGCCTTATTTGTGTTTACAATATCAAGGGGGTCATCCCAGTTTAAATCTGCTAG